GGCTCTGCCACTACAGGACAGGCCTCCCACCACTCAGCTCTGTTTAGCTTCTGCTGTGCTGCATCCCTTGAGGACAGGTTAAGAGGAAACTCCCTCCAAGCCAGCTCTCCCCAGTCACACTCACAGCCTGCCTGGCATTGGGACATTATAGGGAGTTGGGCCCATAGGTTAGATCTAGTTGAGCTATCAGACAAAGGCCACTCCTGAGCTGTGTTTCCATAGGGTTTCCCTAAACCTCTCCTTCACCTTTCTTCTTCCCAGTCCAAAATAAATGATTTGTGTCTTTAGGAAAAGTTCCAGGTTGCTTGAAGTTATTTCATCATGAGAATCACACTCAGAATGTATATTCACATGACCTGCCCTCATCCTTTCTCTAATCCTTCAGCTGACATTTTTGAGTGACTAATATGTGCCAGCCACCATGTTGAGCTCCAAACAAACAAACTTGAACAAAGCACATGGGAACTTCTCGCCAAAGTATATGATATATGGTGGAAAACAAGCAATCACATCAATAGCCAGCATTTCATGTGTACTGCTATTTTCAGGCCCAAGGTAAGTGCACTCTCATATTCAAGCCACAGAACCACCCTTGTGGAGGATAAGAATTAGATGTATTTCACAGAGTTGTAAACTGAGACTTGGCAAGGGAACCTAGCAAACAGGAGGGGCACAAGGCCTACAGCAGCCCTATCTGACACTCAGTTCACACACTGGCCCATCATGCCGTGTGTGCACTGCAAGAGTGCCCAGCAGAAAGCTCCATCTAGCCTCAAAGTCAGGGAAAGGGAGGATCAGTTGGCTGGATAACGGAAGGGAAATGTGTGAAAAGACATGAGGCAAGAGTACAAGGCATGTTTGAGGATGCTGAAATATGGCATGTGCATGGAGAACAGTGGAATGGAGACAGTTAGAGGCCTGACCAGCAGGCCTTGTATGCTTTGGGGACCTATGTCCCTGGAAGCATAGGCAAGGAAGTGATAGGATCAGATTTGCTTCCTGCTGCTGGGAAGATAAAAGTAAGACAGGAACATCCACTACGACACTGCTAGAGCAAAGCAGGCAAGTTGGTGGCAGAAAGGTAAAGAGATGGAGACCTTTGGAGGGAGGGGCCGGGGGTGACTCTCTGGCTGGAGCAGGTGAATGAAGGGGGAACCAATTCCAGAGACAGGATGCACTGGAGAAAGTACAGATATGGGGAAAAGACAAACTCGTTTCCAACATGCAGAGTTTGAGCTGCATGAAGATGTTTATTGCCATCTTGACAATATTAAGTCTTCTAATCCATGAACATAGGATGTCTTTCCATATATTTAAGTCTTTAACATCTTTCAACACTGTTTTATTTTCAGTGCACAAATCTTGCACTCCTTTTGCTAAATTTATTCCTGAGTATTTTATTCTTGATGTAATTGTAAATGAAACTGTTTTCTCAATTTTGTTTTTGGATGGTTTATAGCTAGTATATGTATTTTTTATTTTTATTTTTTTTATTTTATTTTATT